TTCTCAAAAGGGTCCTTCCAGGTCAGCTTATTAGATCTTTACCTTGCAGTCTGAGAGAAAAGGTAGCAAGGTGAGCTACCTGGCCACTTCCTGCCAACTCCGGGGACAAGGGCCCACACCCATCTTTTCACTCTCATAGCCCCAACCCCTACTTGTGTTTTCAAACCAATGAACTGCAAATTTATGATCCCCAACCTCAACTAGGTGCTGCTGCTGCTTCCTGGTGGCCTAGATGTTTCCCTGATCAGCTTCTGTTTCTGGAGATTGGTTCAACCTCCTCCACCCTACTCGAGGTCCCCAAGAACAGCCTGGTTGACTCTCAGCCAGTACCCACTACAGTGGGATGCACCGGTGGTTACAGCTGGTGCCCAGCCTGGACCACTTCATTTTTAAAAAAATATTTTTGAAAAAGCAGTTATAGTAGTTGATATTTCTTAAGCACTTCACGTCTGAACTCACTGAGTTCTCACACACCAGGCCATGAGGTTGACAATGTTAGGATCCCCAACCCGCACACGGGGAAACCAGAAGCAGGAGCCTTGAGGTCACAGGCTGAGAAGTAGGGGGTGAGGACAGGTTGCAGGGTCTTTGAAGCAGAAGGCACTGGCCTCCACTTTGTGGAAAAACTAAGGGGCACTAGGAGTGAAGCCCTCTCCTTTCTGCCCCTCCTGCTGAGACCACCACCTCCCCAGGGCCATCAACTCAACTTGGGGCTGGGACCTGCCCACCAGTCACTGCAGCAGTGTGACCCATACCAGGTGAGCAGGTGAGAAACAAATTGGTATAATTGTTGGTAGGTGAAATGTTTCGTGGAGGGGACAATTTGGCAGTTCTGTGACAGTGTAAAATGAGCGCCTCAAAAGATCAGAAAGGTCGTAAGTGGCCAAGAATAGGGGACCAACTGAGAAAATGGCGGCAGCCTCTTGTTACAACAGGGGGTCCATTTGTCATCTGTGGCAAATGTGTCTTGCTCTTGCTCTGTGAACCTATCTTGTCCTTCCTCAATAAACTTCACTTCACACTAAAAAAAGAAAAGAAAAGAACAGTGGCATTCACACAAGAGACTACCATGCAGCCTTTTTTTTTTTGAGACAGACTCTCACTCTGTTGCCCAGGCTAGAGTGCCGTGGTGTCAGCCTACCTTACAGCAACCTCAAACCCCTGTGATCAGGCGATCCTCCTGCCTCAGCCTCCCGAGTAGCTGGGACTACAGGCATGTGCCACCATGCCCGGCTAATTTTATATATACATATATACATACATATGTGTATATATATATTTTTTAGTTGGCCAATTAATTTATTTCTATTTTTAGTAGAGACAGGGTTTCGCTCTTGCTCAGGCTGGTTTCAAACTCCTGACCTTAAACGATCCACCTGCCTCAGCCTCCCAGAGTGCTAGGATTACAGGCATGAGCCACCGCGCCCAGCCCCATGCAGCCTTTAAAACGTATGCAGGGCTTTTTGTCCCGGTGTAAACTTCAAGATGTTGTTAGATTTTTTTTTTCTTTTTTTCAAAAAGAGGTTGGCTGGGCGCAGTGGCTCATACCTGTAATCCTAGCTCTCTGGGAGGCCGAGGCGGGCAGATTGCTCTAGGTCAGGAGTTTGAAACCAGCCTGAGCAAGAGCGAGACCCCCGTCTCTACTATACAATAGAAAGAAATTAATTGCCAACTAACATATCTAGAAAAAAATAGCCGGCATGTGGCGCATGCCTGTAGTCCCCAGCTACTGGGGAGCTGAGGCAGGAGGATCGTTTGACCACAGGAGTTGACACGGGTGAGTGCTGTGAGCTAGGCGGACGCATGGCACTCACTCTAGCCTGGGCAAAAAAGTGAGACTCTGTCTTCAAAAAAAAAAAAAGAGGTAACTTACAGAATAAAATAGGTTGCCACTGGGTATAAAAGCCAGAAAATGAATATATTTCTCTATTTGTTTCTACCTGCTTGTACCTATTTCTGAAAGGACACAGAAGAAACTGGCAATTAACCCCCAGAGGAAGCTGAGAGATTGTGCATCAGGTTGGTTTCTGGAACCTCTCACAGTGTGAACCATATGAAGATCTTATAAATGCAAAAAAAAAAAAAAACTTCAATATTTCAAAATTCACATAAATAAAATTGGCATGCTCAATTTTGAAATTTTGCCACTAGGAATGCATCCCACAGGCATGGCTGCGCAAATGGGCCAAAAGAATACATGTACATGCTTATCCTCTGTGGCATGTTTAGTGACAGTAAAACACCGCACAGCTACCCAACTATGTGAGCGCCGAGTGACAGCCCGGGCAATGCCCCTGCCCCCTTGGCTTATGCTTTTGTATTACCCTCTCAGCTTCAGTGTGGGCTAGTAAGCTACCAGTAGTTTCTTGTAATGAACAGAATCTGGCCAAAGTGATGAGATATCACTTCCACGATGATACAAAAAGACTGCAGCTCCCACCTTGGGGACCCTCTCTCCTTTCCAGAGAAGCTGAGTGCCACACCGTGCGCTGCTCTATTAAGAAGCCTACAAAGGCGAGAAACCGAGGGAGACCTCCAGCCACTAGCAAGGAAGGAAGTGATGCTCTATACCCGGTCAACTGGGAAGAGCTGAATCCCACCAAGTAGCCCGTGCGTGAGCTTGGACGGGGCCCCTCCCTTGTTGAGCCTTCAGATGAAAGCACAGCCCCAGCCAACAGCTTGACTGCGACCTTGAGAGACCTTGAGCCAGAGGCCCACTGCTAAGCCAAGCCTGGATTCTTGACTCACGGCAACTGTGATGCTTATTGTTTTAAGCCATGGAGTGGTGGGGTTTGTTACACATCAACAGACAGCTTACACAGACAGGATGGTCTGTGGAATTGGAATGCATCCATTTAACTACTTGAGGCAATCATTTAAAGACGGGACATAGAGCCATGTGTAATGAATGATGTAGACAGATGGCCACTACTTAAGTTGGGGGGGCACAGGAAGCAAGTTAAAGAACAACATATAGAGACTGACCTCACATATAAAAAAATTAAAAAATTAAATGTGTCTACAACCATATGCATGTAAATTCAAACATCAGACTGGTGTATCTGCATCTGGGGAAGAAAGTGGTTTGCCCGGGGTGTGTGTTTGGGGTGGGAGAGGGGACAATAGGTGTGCAGGGGCCCTTTTTATTCCACACACTTCAGTGCTCTTTGATGTTATGATACTGTGTGTAACTTGATACATTTTAAGTTAATTTTTAAAAACTCGAAGATGGTGGGAAAATAGTGAGTTTTGTGTACCTTTAAACAAATATATTCTTAACACCCCTTTTTAGGTGTCATTTTTCCATAATTTTTTTTCATATATTTATTTTTTTTTAGAGACAGGGGCTTGCTATGTTGCTCAAGCTGGCCTCAAACTCCTGGGCACAAGTGATCCTCTTGCCTCGGCCTCCCAGATAGCAGGGACTACATGCACGCACCACCACTCCCAGCTCCTAATTCTTTGGAGGTGGTAGATGGGAATTTTATTTCACCCAAAACAGGTTTGCAACTATTAATATGTTAGTGTTTTAGCATTTTGGCCACAAAACACATATTTTTCCAATTCTGTCCTGCCATGTTGGCAGATTTGCTCATTTGTGAGAGTTCTCATGAATTCCCGGTCTTACCTCCAACCACAGATCATGATGCCAAGGCAAACTGGTCAAAAAGAAAATGTTTCCAACAAATCACTCAATTATAACCTTTCTGGACACTCTGGTGATTTGTACAAGTTGGGATGCATTTGTAGAAGCAGTTCTGCCCACCATGTTTCGCCTTCTAAAAGTGTGTTTCAGCCAATGACGACCGTGGCTACTAGCAGCTCTCCTGTGTCGAGGGCTGTGCTGAGCTAGAACGCTTACTCCTTGTAACAATCCTATAGCCTAGTAACTATTTGACAATATGGGAAAACTGAGGCTCGGGGTCACAGAGCTGATGAGTGCAGAAGCTGGGGCTTAATCCCGCTGCTCTAAGGTTTTTAGTATTTCTTCCACACTGAGGCAGCTTCGAGAGCACCTTGCACTCAGAGAAAAGTTTTCCCAAAAGATCTGCTCTGTTGGCGTCGGCTGGTTCTCGGGGACACCTGGCCTGTGAAAGGGAGAGGTGAGTTCTGTGTGTCTAGATCTGTTCCCACTCTCTGGGTACTCCAATAACCATGGACTTTCTTCTGCCTCATCCTTGTGAATATGCACCCAATCCAGTGTTAAGGGCAAGAGTGCACCACTGGCCGAAGATGGCCAAACTGGCGACTGGAAATATTTCTTTTGACCAATTTGGTTCGGATCCAAATCCGTGTTATCCTGCAGGGGGACTTCCACACCCGTGGAAACAGCAAAAGCTGCGTCTTCCCCTTTCAGTGGCTTTTCACACAGTCCATTATATCACTCCCTCCTCAAAAAAACACTCTCAGCTTCTAGAACACCACACTTGCCTGGTTCTCCTCCTGTCTTCCGGCTCCCTGCCCAACCCTTACACGTGGGTCTTTCTCAGGGTTCTGTCCTTGTTCTCGAATCTTCTCCTTCTTCCAGAGGTAGCAAAATGGCGGCCCGGCGGCCTCATTAGACCCACAAGCAGATTTTGTTTGGTCCTCACAGTGTTTTTGTCTTTAATTTGAATGCCATTAGGCGGGGCAAGCACTCTCCAAGTTCGCCACAGTCCCCATCATTCCCTATTGTCTTACACCCGTCCGCTTCACACATTTTCATCACCTGCCTGGTCCCTGAAGCCATCCGAGGTTTCAAAAACCCGTGTCACAGGCTGCCTGGGAAATCTCACCCATGTTCACCTCTTCAGCTATCACCAGTGTCTCCTACTCCATCATTCGTATGTGCGAGAGTCACCTAGAGAGCTTATTCAAAATGCAGATTCCCAGCCCCACGTCCCCCAGATTTGATTCAACAGTTCTAGGGCAGGGATCCGAAACTCAAATGCCTCCAGGGGCCAGGCGGGTCACATAAATGAGTGAACTAGCCAGGTATAAGAAAAGTCAACGGCCAGAAATATAATTAAACCGTATCTTTACTGAACTATGGTGAATGCATGGAACATAATACAAACATGTATGATACTAGAGTTTATATTTTAAATTCAAAATTGAAAAAATACAAATTGAAAAATAGAAATATTTAATTATTAAAATTTTCTCTTTCATAATTCTTTTGCGCCTTTGAGTTGAAGCCAAAGGGCTGACATCTTCCCTTCCGCACCAAGATGTCAATATCAGGCCCTGGATGGCACGGTGGGGTGGGCAGTTTAGAATTCAACCTTGAATCCTTACATTGGGAGCGGTATTTAATTTGATTCAGGTTCGTAACGGAAAACAGCTGTCCAGAAGCATAGGTACTTCCCAACACGGATAGTCAGGACTACTGGAGATGGTTGTAAAATCTCGCCATCTTCAAATAGAATTGTATTTAGGAACCAGCGCCCTATTGCACTGTGGTTCGATAACTACTATTTGTGCTCTGCATTCACACCATTAACCAACAAAGGCAAACTGGACAGCGTTAGTTCATTGTTATAAAGTCTGGATTCAGAGAGCCTTTGGGGGAATGTGGTCTTCAACCCCACAATTTGGGTGAATACAGACCCGGCCATCTCTTTTGTTTCTGGAAACCAACTGCAGCAAAGAAAATAAGAGTCAGATTTTGCCTTGGGGGTGCCTCCCCATTTTTTGCCAGGACTGAGCAAATATGATCATACATTCAAGTCGCGGTTTGTGAACATCCTTGCGGAGAAATATTCAGTGTTCAGAAGGGTCGTAACGTCGACCGAGTCTTTGACTAACCTTCTCGGGGGAACCGAGTGTGGCTCTTGCCTGATTTAAAATGAACCAAGTTGACTAACTTTTACAGTTCAGATGACTTCCACAACCAGATCACAGAGCTTCTGTGAAATACATCGGGTCAAGCCACCGTGAACTTGCCCGTGGTTAAAGCACAGGACCTAAGTGTCGAGGGCATCTAGGATGTGTTCTATTTAATTTCTTAGAACAATTTAACTCCTGGTGATAGACGCCATGACCTGACCCATGTCCTTGCCAAATGTTGCCACCTTGGAACAAAGTGTCCTGCCAGGTCCCCCTGGGATTACACTGTCCATAGTTGTGCTTAAGAATTCTGGCCAGTCTATGAGAAACTTTTCATTTCTCTCAACACACAAAAAATAAGTCATTTCCCAGCATTGGGCCTGCCTTGGCACCATGTCACAGACTTCTTCGGTCACATCAAAATTCTTAACACCACAAATAAATAAAGCTAACTGGGTGGTAATAGTTTATGAGCAGCGATAGAAAAGGCCACGATTTGACTCTTTCAAGCAACTGGACTTATTTATCTTCAACTCACTGTGCAACACAAATGCCCGTTGGACTTAAATAATCATATAAACAGTCTGTTTCTGTTTGGGACGTGTCATTCTGCTCCTTTATGAACTCGCCGTCTGTTGGAGGTTTTAATGCCCAGGTAATTCTTCTCACGTTACTCTGGAACCGAGTGCTGCAGCCGCGCCACTTCTGTCATTCGCTTTCCAAAGCAAACACTATTGGCATTTGAGTCCCTTTTTCAGTTCGTTGAGGATGGCGTCCCGAGTCTGTTCCGTATACTGGTCATAGCTCTTACTATGCTTTGATTTGTAATGACGTTTCAGGTTGTATTCTTTCAACACAGACACGATTTTTTTGCATATTAAACACGTAGGCATGCTCTTCACTTCCACAAAGAAATAGGCTCGCTCCCACTTTTCTCGAAACACGCGGCCCTCTCCTTCTCTCTTTCGTTTTGCCGCTTTTGATAGAGACATGGGTACAAGAAAGGTTTCACTTTCCTATGAAAGCTACCACAGGAACAACCACAGTGCAAGCCCGGTGACAAAGGCAGTGACCCTTTGCCTCACGGGGGAGCCAAGAGGGAGTGGTGGGGACTGTGGCGAACCGGAGAGCACACGCCCCACTGAAAGGGGCAGCTCCAGCCCGTTGTTGCCAGGCAGAAGGGCAGGCCCAGGGGTGCCAAATCCTCTGACTTGCCAAGAGAAGCCAAGGCTACAGATTTTGTGTGTGTGTGTGTGTGTGTGTGTGAATGATCCCGATTTTTACAACTAACTCGTAAGAAAAAAGTGCCACATATGCTAACACAGGGAAGGCCAAACAAAACTCATCTGTAGAGTGGCCCGTAGGCCACCAGATTGCAACCTCTCTCCTGGGGCGGGGCCCACGAATTTGCATGGTAACCAGCATCCGACATGTCGCGGATGCTGGTGGTCCAGGCGTGGACCACACTCTGAGCAACACTGGTCCACGTTCTACAACAGACAACTGACCGTCCACCTCCATGAGAGACCACCCTGCACTTCGGACACGTCTGTAACCAGCTGTCCCCTGGATGTCTCTGAGGACATCCTTCAGGTCCCTCACCTCGCCACATCCCAAACCTATTCCCTGCCAGGTCTTCTATCCCGAGGACAGCCCCACTGTCCACCCCACCCAAAGCCCCAGGTCGGCCTCAGACCAGGACCCAGGGCCTGCCCTCTCTCCATATATAATCTTGTGCGCTTCTGGGCCTTCAACCACCAAGCATACACTGTCCCATAAGGATATGCCCTGAGCTCCTAACATGCCACCTGTCACCTGGATGTCCCTAGGGCCACTTGCACTCACTACCAGCTCCTTCTCCTAGGAGCCCCACCATCTACCATCACCCAGGCCTGGCCCCAGGAGCCACTCTCAGCTCCACCCCACTTAACCCCACTGCCTTCATGTGGCCCACCAGTGCCCAGCCGCACCCTCCTGGCCTCCTTCCTTCCCTCGTCACACTCCAGCCCAGCGATGTCTTTCTGACATGCAGAGCCGGCCCAGGCCCGCCCGGCCCCCTACTTCACAGCCTCCTGTGGCCCCTGTATCCCCAGGACAAACCTCTGGTTGCTCAGTTTGGAATCTGAGCCCCTCATGTTCTGCTCATCGCTCAAGCTCCTCCCTCCCTCACACTCCAGAAACATCCATCAACTTGCTCCTTCGAGCCACCTATATTTCCTCTTGCTTTTGCACACACTGTTCTGTTGTTCCCTGTACTTGACCACCCTTTGCCTCCTTCCCTCCCAGCTCACTGCCAGCTGCTTCTCTTTCAAGACCCTGCGGAGCCTGGACCAGGTCAGATGCCTCTTCCAGGCTCCCAAGGTGGCCCGTGCTACTTCCACAAGAGCACATGTCCTGAGTGCTACCTGCCTGCCTCTGCCATCTGCCCTCCCGGACCAGGCTGCCAGACTGCCTCTGACTCACCGCTGAGGCCTCAGTGTCACCCACCCAGGGCCTCAGGGATGTCTGCTTAAGAACGAGAATAGAAATGTCTCCCCCAGGTCTCCTCCTGCCCAGTCCTGGGGGATGTCAGTGACGGGAGCCGGGGCATGTGTTAAAAAGGAACTTTATTGGGTGTTGGGGGTTCAGATGAGATCCATGAGGATGTCGTCCTCCATGACGCTGGGCTGCAGGCCCGGCTGGGGGACCGGGCCCCGGGGACCCCCGCTCAGCAGCATCTGACCTGGGGAGCAGTGGGGAAGGGACTGCATCTCCCAGTAGTCCCTGGGGCCTTGGAGGCCCTGGGGGCACTCAGTTTTCTAGGAAGCCCTGGGGGGACCCATCAGAGGTGCCTTCTGACCCCATGTGGTTGCAGATACATTGTTTTCCATAAGCCTTTGGGAGCCCTGCCCCCAAACTATTTCTTGGCCCTAAGACCACATTTCCCAGCACCCCTAGGACACATGGGAGAAGATCATGGGAAGAGCTCTCGACCCAATAGGTCGAGACCCATGGGCTGTACTTCCCAGTAGCCCTCAGAGCCCCTCAGGGGCTATGGGGAGAACCCAGGTTTTTGGATCCCAGGACTTCATTTCCCAGGAGCCCTTGGTCTTGGTGTTCTAGCCCAGGGGCTGCTGGGACACTCAGTCCAGACCTCTGCCCTCCCCTGGGCCCCCTTACCTGGCAGTGGAGCCCGAGAGGGAAGCTGTGCGGGCCAGGACTGGGCAGGCGGTGGATGCAGGAGAGGGGGCCCCAGCTGGGGCTGCCCCAGGCCCTGGTGCGGTGGGGGCAGCAGCGCCGGAGCCCCAGGGGGCTGGAGGTGGTGGAGGGAGGCCTGGGGCGGGGGTACCCCAGTCTGGGGCTGGGAGAACACAGAGGGTGGCTCAGAGGCTCCTGGTGGACAGTTCCCCCACCCCCCTGCCGTGCTTCCTCTGGCACAGATGCTACCCAGACAACGGGTCAGCCAGTGGTGTGGGAAGGTCTTTCTTCAAAGGAATCTTGGCAGAAGCCAATGTAAAAGAATGGGGAAGAGGCAGTCTGCCTGGAGCCCTTGGCCAGGCTCCATTCATACCCACTGACCATAGCCAACCTCCCTCCTCCAAGATAAAAGGATCAGAACTTTCAGCACCAGCATCTGCAGCTCCTATCTGCCCACACCCAAATCTCACCGGTGGCGGATTGAGGAGGAGGCTTCGCAGCTGGGGGTTGGCCCCAGGGTTCTGGGGGCGAAGGATGGGTCCAGGAGGGGGTTGGCCGGGGGCAGCTCCAGGAGGGCCCTGAGGGGCACCTGGGGGGGGCTGGGTAGTACCTTGGGGCTGGGGCTGCCCTGTGGCACCAGAGGCCCCCACAGTGCCCTGAGGCTGGGGCTGTGGTGGGCGAAGCTGCAGCTGGTGGGAAGAAAGACAGGGGTAAGGGAGAAGAGCAGGGCCTCTGCACCCCCCCCCCACCGTGTGAGCATAAAGGGCAGCCTCTGGGGCCTCCCCTGCCCCATCCCTGACCCCACCAGCTCTGTCCTCACCAGATTCTGTGAGGGCCTCGCTTGGTCCTCCAGAATGGGGCCTAGCCCTGGGGGTGCCTGCTGTCCCCCCATCTGCATGGAAAGAGAGGGAGGTCAGTAATGGGCATGGCGTGTGGGGGCTGCTGTCCTGAATCTGAGTTGGGAGGATCTTGAGCCCTGAAGGGAGCTTGTAGGAGTTGGGAACATTTTCTCCGGGAACAAGTAGTCTGGGAAGAAAGACTTACACTCCCAGGTTCCCAAGAAGCAGCTGTGTGTCAGAGATTTCAAGTGGATACTGAAAAGGGAAAGTAGGTTGCAATAACGTACGGGATGGGACTAAACTCAGGGGTGGCCACATCTTGGGAGAAGAGGAAATACCTGGAGACCCAAGAGGGCCACTGTGGGGCTTGGCCGTCTGAGCTCTGGGGCCCAGGCTGGACGGGGACACCGGGTTGGGGAGGGGCTGAGATCACTCACCCCTCGCTGTTGCTCCAGCTTCTGCTGCTGGACCTGCTTGTGGTTGGTGATGACCTGCCGGATGCCGTTGACAAAGCCACTCTGGTCATAGGGGATGAGGCCCATGAAGATCTTCTTCTTGGACGAGTACAGGAGCATGAGCACGCGCACCTCGCAGGGGGCCGTGTGGGGGAAGTGCACACAGCCCGCCTGGGGGGACAGAGGGTCTTTAGAACTATTTATGCCCTGGAGGAGATGGCGTCCCACCCCTCCACATTCTAGAAGGTTCTAGAAGCCCCATAGGTAAGCGGAGGCGAGGTTTCTTCTATAAAAGTTTGAGGAGACCAGAGATCCTAAAGGAAGGGAAATACACGGCCAATGCCACTCTTCCCCTTGCCATCTTTCATCACAACACACAGACACCTGGAGCCTTGAGAGCTACTTTGTGAGACCAAGAAAGAAAGAGACCAAGAAAATGACAGAGGCCCTGGCCCTGACATCAAGGAGCTATTAATAAAAATCCAATCATTGCTCACTCTGGACACCCTGTTATATGTAAAAAATAAATGCCTCCTGCTACAATGCTTGCTCTTGGGACACTCCCTCTTGGAACCAAGCGGCCATGTTATGAGGAAGCCCAAGCCACATGGGCAGGTCACGTGCAGATGGTCAGACTGACAGTCCCCAGCTGAGCCCCCATTGACAGCCAGTACCAGGTGAGTAGGCCATTTTGAACATCTAGCCCAGTCAAGCTTTCAGATGACCACAGTTTCAGCTGCCATCTGATGGCAGCCCCATGAGAGTCCCCAAGTCAGAATGGCCCACTGAGCCCAGGTGACCCACAGAATTGTGACAGAACATTGTTGTTTATCGGCCCCCCACCCTAATTATCTATCTCTGGAAACTCTGGATGGGTTTACATTACTTGGTGCTGAAAGCATTCCTAACTCTCATGAGTGCCTTCTTCATCGAGTTTCTGAGAATCACTTGAAGTAACCCAGCTAGAGTCCTCGCTCCTGGAAAAGTGCCTGGAGCACAGCAATACCTGGATCTGCTCCTACTTAGAGAAGCCCTTCCCTAGTATGTGAGTTGAACTGTATCTTCCAAAAAGATGCGTTAAAGTTCCAATCCTCCAGCACCTGTGAAGGTGACCATATTTGAAAAGAGGGTCTTTGCAGATGTCATAAGATGAGGTCACTGGGGTGGACTGATCCAAAGGGACTAGTGTCCCACAGACACATGCAGAGAGAACACCATGTGCAGACAAACACAAGACACATGAAGACAAACACAGAGCCCAGAGTGGTGCTGCCTGCAGCCTGGGGGTAGCAGCTGGAAGAGGCAGTAGAGGCCTGCCTTAGAGCCTTCAGAGAGACCGTGGCCCTGCAGACACCCTGACCTCCAACTTCTGGCCTCCAGAACTGTGATAGAATCCATTTCAGTAGGCTGAAGCCCCCTAGTTTGTGGTGGTGTGTTACACGTCAGAATCAGTAGTTTACTCCTAATTTAATTGCTCCAGTCACACTTTTTTTTTTTTTGAGACAGAGTGTCGCTTTGTTGCCCAGGCTAGAGTGAGTGCCGTGGCATCAGCCTAGCTCACAGCAACCTCAAACTCCTGGGCTCAAGCGATCCTCCTGCCTCAGCCTCCCAAGTAGCTGGACTACAGGCATGCGCCACCATGCCCGGCTAATTTTTTCTATATGTATTAGTTGGCCAATTAATTTCTTTCTATTTATAGTAGAGACAGGGTCTCGCTCTTGCTCAGGCTGGTTTTGAACTCCTGACCTCAAGCAATCCGCCCACCTCGGCCTCCCAAAGTGCTAGGATTATAGGCGTGAGCCACCGCTTCCGGCCTCCTGTCACACTTTTAATGTGGACTGTATCTGGATCTGGTGCGTATTGTAATGCTAATAAAAGTTAAGGCTCTAGAAGACAGATGGGGAGCCCAGCTTGCAAAGGCCACCCAACCATCAGAAGTGGCTCCCTCGTGCCCAGGCACTTCCCATCACAGCACAGAGGAAGGGAGAACAGAAGAGTCAGCGCCCCTGGGCCCACCCTGCCCTGCCCAGCACTCACGAAGCCGTTGCCCATGATGCGGTAGAGGCCTTTGAGAGACTCCAGGTCCTTGTTGGTGAAATGGAACTGGACCATCCTTGAGTTCCGGAACAAAGGGCCCAGGGTAGTCTGGGGGAGACATGGAAGTCAGCCGACGTGTTGTGTGGGGAAGTGAGGAGGGGACATTGAGGCAGGGAGAAGGGCGGGGCAGGTAAGAGAACAGGGTAAGAGCTGCCTGGCAGGGTGGGGGCCCTGACTGCCACTCACCAGCAGCTGCTGGGGGATGAGCTGCATGATCAGCTTCTGGGGCCACTGCTCTGTCTTTCTGGGGGGCAATGCCAGAAAAGGTGTCAGGGGGGGCAATCCCCAGCCCTGCCCCACCCCACCCCCAACAGTCACCTACAGGTTCTCGCCATGATTCACATAGACCTGGCAGGGCAGCGACCGTGTCAGCTTGGTGTTAGCATCCACTGAGGCAGGTTTAGGTTTCTAGTGGGGAAGATGGGCATGTCACAGTGAAAAGGGCCTTATGCCTCAGTCCCCCTGATCCCTCCTGTCCCCCTCCTTGGTAGCCCCAAAGCTCAGGATGTCCAGGATGTCCCATGAGCCCTGGGCTCCTCCTCAAACCACTAATCCCATACTTCTCTGGCCTTCAAATTGTGTAAATGTTGGGGCTTCTCCTCTGGCGCCTAAATCCCACAATCTGCTGTTACTCAGATGCCACAATCCCCTGAGCTCCTGTCTAGACCCTAAATCCTAGGTTTTTTGAGCTATTTACCTGTAACACAATTCTTAACACCCCCCTAGTCCTAAACTGAGCCACCAATCCCATGGTTCCTTAGGACTCACTTCTGGACTACAAGTCTCACAACCCCATGGAGCCCCTGGCCTGGCTCTGTGCATCCTCAAGCCCACTCACCTCCTGCCACTCGAGGACTCCGCTCCAGGCCAAAAGTTTGTTGGAGACCGACTGCTGCCCACCGAGGGCCGGGGCCCCTAGCTGGGCTGGAGAAGGGCCGCTCACCCCTCCTGGGGCCACTGTGCCCGCCTGCCAGATGGGAGGAAGGAGGGCAATGAGGGTGGGAATAGATGTCCTGTAAGAGGGGCAGACCAGGAAAGATCCCTTCCTCTGCATCCCCAGCCCCGGAATAGGGTCTCAGCATCCCTGACACCTAAATGCTCTGCCTCTGTAGCATCTGAGGACTTGTAAGTTCTTGGACTTCCAGATCTGCAGATGTCAGAATGGATCCCTGGGTTCTTCAGAACAGCTCTGATCCACCTGAAGCCACAAACCTCATTCTAACCCCAGACCCACTCATCTCAGAGTCATCTGTAAAACACGTGCCATGAGCCCTGAGGACCCAGAACCACAAGGTCCACACCCCTCGGGCACTCCTTAGGAAGGCAAAATCCTCTCACTGTCCCAGCCCCACGCAGCTGGGAGGAAGGAGTGGGACAGGAGGCGTGCAGGCACCTACCATGGACGGTCCCCCGGGCTGTGTAGAGGGGGCCAGGCCCGGGCCGGGGGCCACAGTGGAGACCAGGCTGGGCTGGGAAGCAGGAGGCGGCTTGGGGGCACCAGGGGGTCCCGGGGGTAATGGGGGGGCTGGGGCCTGGCTGAAGGGGGGACCCACTCCTGGAGCGGCTTGCTGGAGAGGGGTGATGGGCGAGACTGTGGGAGAGATCAAGGAAGAAGTGGGGAACAGGTGTGCAGAGGGGGGCCTGCCCACCCTCCCACCCTGCATCCTCACCCCCAGACTCACAGCGTGGGCCCAGCCCCGCCTTCTGGTTCTTGGCAGCCTCCACTGCATTCTGGGCGGCCACCTGAGCCGCGCTCAGATTCCCAGGGACCTGGGTTAGAGGGGAGGGGACTGGTGAGGACCATGCATCCCCAAGGCCATACCACCCAGGCCCCACCCATTCCAGCTGGGACAGCTCAGGAGCTCACAACACCAGATATGACTCCGGGACTCCAAGAGTCCCATCCTCCTGACGTCCCAGTGGGGACTCCCATCACCCCACAAGCCCCTCTTTTCAACGAGATCCCTTCCAAGGAGCCATGGCTGGTGCAAAGCCGCAGAAGCATGTCCATACCTGGTATTGCGGGGGCACAGGGGGGAGAGGCTGCTGGGGGGCTGCTGAGAGAGTGGCACCCGAGGGTGCAGTGGGAGGCAGGGGCACCGGCTGCTTTGGCTGGAGGGGCCCTGAGGCCGAGCTACCCCCTACTGAGAGCAGGATGGATGACCGTGCCACGTGAGAAGGGGTTCCAGGTGAAGACAGGGGAGAGAAATCCAAAATCCAAGTGAGGTGGAGCTGGGGAACCCACCCCGCCCCCGAGCCTTCCGTCCCCACCAGCGCCTGGGCCTCACCAGGCAAGACGAGCCCCCGCACCAGCACCATGTGCCTCGGGTCCTGGCTCACATCTGCCGGGGGCTGCAGCGGCTCCAGCAAGGCCGGGGGAGCCGCCTTCTCGAACAGAAGCCGCAGGGCAGGAAGCTTCCGGGGAGACACGATGGAGAAGTGGATCCCCCGCTGCAGGGGAGGGGACAGGCGGTCAGGATGGCCCCCCCCCATAGGGATGCTGGGGTTGGCTCCAGGCTACCACACTTGCTGAGTGTGTAGGTGGATTTCCCCAGCCCTGTGACCACAATTCCAATCAAGCTTTGGGGTGGGGACCATGGGACCTGGGTTATAGCTGTCCCAGGGGACTCTGGGTTATAGTTCTTTCAACAAAAGTAAGCAGAGTTGGCCATGTGTCCATGACTATTCTGACCCCTCCTCCCTCAGACCCAGGGGTCCATACCCCCAACCCCTCCTCCCTCAGACCTGGGGGGTCCTCACCTCCCCAATCTTCTGCACAAGACTCTCAGTCGTATACCCAGAGTATGTGGTGCTCTCAACAGCAGGCAACAGGTACGGGGGCGAGTTGCAGATAAGGAGGCAGACTCGGTGTGTCTGCCCACTGCCAGAGACGAGACAAGATATGAAGTACCGACAGGGGCCTTGAGAAGGGACCCAGAGGCAGTACCAGCGGGGGTGCAAGCACTCTGCCCCACAGGGAGTCAGGAGTAATGTCCCCATTTTACAGCCAAAAATACATAGGCTCCAAGAGGTTCCAAAACTGGCTCTAAGTCTCCCAGCAGGCAGGGGCAGCAGGAGGGGGACTCAGAGCAGGCCCCTCCCAGTGAGGATACTGACACCAAGCACTGGCCGGGCCTCACTTGAGGACACACCTCTGGCCTCCCAGCTCAGAGTTCTCAGGGACACAGAGCCCACTGCCTCTAAAAAGTTGGGCAGTTAGGATAGGGTCCACTCGTCGCAAAGTGGGTTACCCCTGGGACAGTAGAAAGGAAGGTTACACCTACTCTGAATATTGCTTTTTTAATAAAAAAAAAAAAAGAAAAAAAAAAAAAAAAAAAAAAGAAAGAGGAGGGACACATGGCCGGGCGCAGTGGCTCACGCCTGTAATCCTAGCACTCTGGGAGGGCCGAGGAGCGTGGATCACCTCAAGGTCAGGAGTTCGAAACCAGCCTGAGCAAGAGCGAGACCCGTCGTCTACTTAAAATAGAAGAGAAATTAATTGGCCAATTAATATAATATAGAGAGAAAAATTAGCCGGGCGATGGCGGGCAGTGCCCTATAGTCCAGCTACTTGGGACGCTGAGGCAGAAGGATTGCTTGAGCCCAGGAATTTGAGGTTGCTGTGAGCGAGGCTGATGCCATGGCACTCTTAGCTCAAGGACACACAGAGCTGAGACCTTGTCCTCCAAAGAAAAAAAAAAAAAAAAAAAGAAAGAAAGAAAGAGAGGGACACAGACCCAGACAGAGAAGGCACTCACATCTGCTCCCGCATCTTCTTGAAATCGTCAAACAGCTGCAAGGCGGTGCTGAGGCCTTCCGCGATGAGGCTGCAGCTCTCGCCACCCCCACCCATGAACCTGCAGGGGGCCAGGTGGTCAGCACCCAGGGACCCCCAGGGCTGCCACTGTCCCCACCCCCTCACACACACACACACTTGCAGAGCCTGCTGCTATGGTGTCCCTCATCTCACACTGGGACTGTGTGCCTTGGGACGATGGGACACTGTTTAGATCCCTCCTCTATCTCTGGGCCAGAGAGGACAGGGGACATTTGCTGTCTTAATCATGAGGCCTGGGAGGGAAGGGGAAAGGGCTTGGAACACCAAGCCTGAGATCCTGTGCTGCGTCTCATCCCTGGTGTGACTGACTCCCTGTCCACTCTCCCGCTGTCCCTCCCCTACTCTGGGACATCTGCTCCATCTTTAAAATCAGGTGCCTGGCCTCACTACACCTTCCTAGCCAAAGACAGGGGCCACCTTGGTCCTCCCACAGCGTCACAGGTTGAAATGTGTCCCCACTAGAAAGACAGGTTGAGCTCCTAATCTTATTTGGAAATAGGATCTTTACGTAAGTAATCAAGCGGAATTAGGGGGCCCTAATCCAGTAAGACGGGTGTCTCTATAAAAAAGAGAAATTTGGACACAGACACACAGAGGGAAGATATGAAGACAAAGAAGGAAGGCCGTGGGAAGACTGGGGTGATGCAGGACAAGCAAGGAACATCTCCAACATTCAGAGGAAGCACCGCCCTGCCACCTTGACTTCGGACTTCCAGCCTCCAGAACGTGGAGACAACACATTCCTGTTCTTCCAACCCACTTTCTACTACTTTGCTAGGGCAGCCCTAGGAAACTAATATACCTGGACACTGGAGTCTCTCCTCCACCTGATCTACAGGCAGGTCACCAGCATCTGTCCCCATGTGGCGTGTGGCTCAGGGAAAGCCTCTACTCAAGCGCAGCTGTTGCTGCCACAATTCTTCAGGTCACATGGTCGTGATGCTGACCTTTGCTGCACAGGACATGGTGGAGCCCTGAGGGACCCATCCCCCCCAAACTGTGGTCTCTGAGTCCATGTCTGCTATCTCCTACACAGACAGGGACTGAGTCCCCTTCTCATGCCCAGCCTGGCCACCGCAGTCTGGCACATGGAAGGCCTTAGGAAATGTATGTTGAATAAATAAATGGCTACAAACCCAAGCATGTCCATCAAACCCAAGCCCACAGCTGGGCACCTAGGGTGCTCGAAGCCCCAGGTTTTGCCCCCTAACCCACATCCTCTGTCCAAGAGTCCTCTAGAATGTCTCATGTGTCCCATCTCACATGTCCCTGGCCCCTGTGTACCTGGCTACACCTCCAGGTGTCTGGACGTGCTATTGCTATCTCCCCACCCCCATTCCAGCCCAGGTGGAATCCAGCTAACCTGTGCCGCCCAGCCCGGCGTGCCCTCCTCCAGGAAGCCTTCCCTGATTTTAGGGCCCACCACTGATCACATCACAGGTCACCTGAAACTATAGCTGTCAAGCTTCCCTCAGCAGCCCACCTTCCCCTTCACAGCCTGTGCAGCCCTCAGTGACAAAGACAAAGCTTGCTGACCACTCCTCAACGTGCCCAGGTCACACAAGGCCTCGGGAATCGCACACCAGCAGCCTGGCAGTGTTGATGCAGCTGAGACCTCTGCTCCCTACATGAGATCATGCACTTTCTTTTTTTTTTTGAGACATAGTCTCGCTTTGTTGCCCAGGCTAGAGTGAGTGCTATGGCGTCAGCCTAGCTCACAGCAACCTCAAACTCCTGGGCTCAAGTGATCCTTCCGCCTAAGCCTCCCAAGTAGCTGAGACTACAGCATGCACCACCATGCCCGGCTAATTTTTTCTATATTATTTGGCCAATTAATTTCTTTCTATTTTATAGTAGAGACGGGGTCTCACTGTTGCTCAGGTTGGTTTTGAGCTCCTGACCTTGAGCAATCTGCCCACCTCGGCCTCCCAGAGTGCTAGGATTACAGGTGTGAGCCACTGCGCCCATCCAAGATCATGTACTTTCCTTCCGGTTCCACTCATGGACCCAGAGCCTCCGGCACTCAGCCCACACCGCTGCTGCTCCTTACCCAGCACCACTCCTCTGCCCTATTCCTCACCATCAACACAATTTGTCATGGCTGGGCTCACGCCTGTAATCCTAGCACTCTGGGAGGCCGGGACAGGAGGATCACGCAAGGTCAGGGGTTTGAAACCAGCCTGAGCAAGAGTGAGACCCCATCTCTACTAAAAATTGAAAGAAACTAGCTGGACAACTAACAATATATAGAAAATATTAGCTGGGCATGGTGGTGCATGCCTATAGCCCCAGCTACTTGAGAGGCAGAGGCAGGAGGATCGCTCGAGCCCAGGAGTTCAAGGTTGCTGTGAGCTGGGCTGACGCCACAGCACTCTAACCGGGGCAACAGAGTGAGATTCTGTCTCCAAAAAAAAAAAAAGACGAGGCCGGGTGCGGTGGCTCACGCCTGTAATCCTAGCACTTTGGGAGGCCGAGGCGGGCGGATTGCTCAAGGTCAGGAGTTCGAAACCAGCCTGAGCAAGACCCCGTCTCTACCAAAAATAGAAAGAAATTAATTGACCAACTAAAAATATATACAAAAAAAAAAAATTAGCCGGCATGTGGCGCATGCCGTAGTTCAGCCTACTCGTAGGGACTGAGGCAGAAGGATCGCTGAGCCGGGAGATTGAGGTTGCTGTGAGCCAGGGGTGATGCCACGGCAACTCAAGCTGGCAACAAAGTGAGACTCTGTCTCAAAAAAAAAAAAAAAAAAAAAGACGATTTGGCAAAGGACTTTTAAGGCCACAGAGTCAGGATGGACCCCACTGAATGAACCAGGCCCAAAGGACTTTTAAGGCCACAGAGTCAGGATGGACCCCACTGAATGAACCAGGCCTGGACCCAGCCTGCCACACCAGCTTCCTGCTATGGATGACATTGTGGGCCTCTCTGAGACCCCAGCCAAGGGCACCGTGGCTAGGGCTAGGGAAACGGGGAGCAACTGTGGCACACTTACAGGTCTCCTCTGGGGGTGCAAAGGCTTTGAAATGAGACAGTGCCAGTGGTTGCACAACATTGTGCATGAGCTAAATGTTACTGAATTGTTCATCTTAAAATTATTACTTTCATGTAATATGAATTTCACTTCAATTTAAAAAAACAACTACCGGTCAGGCGAGGTGGCTCACGCCTGTAATCCTAGCACTCTGGGAGGCATAGGCGGGCGGATCGCTCAAGGTCAGGAGTTTGAAACCACCCAAACCAAGAGTGAGACCCCATCTCTATAGAAATATAGAAAGAAATTAATTGACCAACTAAAAATATATATACAAAAAAAAAATTAGCGGGGCATGGTGGCGCATGCCTGTAGTCCCAGCTACTCAGGAGGCTGGGGCAGGAGGATTGTTTGAGCCCAGGAGTTTGAGGTTGCTGTGAGCTAGGCTGATGCCATGGCACTCTAGCCCAGGCAACAGAGTGAGACTCTGTCTCTAAATAAATAAATAAATAAAACTATGGCTGGGTGTAGCAGCTCATGCCTGTAATTCTAGCACTTTGGGAAGCCAGAGCAGAAGGATGACTTGAGGCCAAGAGTGTGAGACCAGCCTGAACAAAAGCAAGATCCTGTCTCTACGAAAAACAGAAAAATTAACTGGGCATGGTGGCATGTGCTTGTAGGCCCAACTACCTGGGAGGCCGAGTCAGGAGGATCACTTGAGCTCAGGAGTTTGAGGTTGCTGTGAGCTATGACAACACCACTGCACTCTAGCCTGGGTGACAGAGCCAGATACCAGACCCTATCTCAAAAAAAAAAAAAAAAAGAAAGAAAGAAAGAAAGAAAAAATAACTTATGACCAGGTGCAGTGGCTCACACCTGCAATTCTAGCACTTCAGGAGGCCAAGGTGGGAGGACCACTTGAGGCCAAGAGTTTGAGACCAGCCTGGACAACATAACAAGATCCCATCTCTACAAAACATGAAAAGTTTAGCCAGGTGTGGTGGCACACACCTGTAGTCCCAGCTACTCAGGAGGCTGAGGCAGGAGGATGCCTTGAGCCTAGGAGTTCGAGGTTGCAGTGGGCTATGATGACACCACTACACTCTGTCCCAGGGAACAAAGCAAGATCCTGACTCAAAAAAAAGAAAGAAAGAAAGAGAGAGAGAGAGAGAGAGAGAGAGAAAGAAAGAAAACAACTTATGAATAAAAGTATGATACACTGACCACTTCGAGATCCTAAAATTTGCTTTCTTCTTATTGAACACTGACTATAAGTCATCCATACCAACTCAAGGAGAGATGTACAAGTATTCTGTCAAAGAAATGAGAGAAACTGGAAAATGGGGAGTGGAAATAAAATATGGCTGTTGCAAAATATAGTTTAATCATCAGATTTATGATAAACCTTAATTCCAAATAAACCCCTTGATGTGGCAAACACCAAATAAAAATAAAACCAACCTGGGTGACACAGGTGTCCTGTGTCATTCATTCATTCATTCTCCCCATTTGTTCCAGCTCAGTATCACTCCCTTGAGTCTACTCTGGCTACTGTCATGGGCTAAGAGCTGTCAGGAGGACCCAGGAGGGATTGGTCAAAATGAAGGAACATTAACAGCAGCCGGCCATGACAAAAGGCTTCCTGCACGCTAGCCCATGCCCCAGCTCCACGAGGGCCCATGCCCCAGCTCCACGAGGGCCAGGACCTTGTCCAACTCCTGTCCACTGACCCGTCAGTGCCTGGGACAGTCTGCTCCAAAAATGTCTGCTGAATGAATGACTGAACAATTGAATGAACAAATGAGCTGTCATAATGCCACAGGGAAGACACTGGGTTTATTTTCCTTCTACCTCTGTTTTCTCTGATTTGAGATCACTAGCTGTGGAAAAATCCCCTTGCGAGAAAGGAAATGTAACATTAGAAAGGAATCTTCCCCAAACAGGGACATGTGAAAAATCATAATGTACGCTTTGTTCCTGAAGTAACTGACATCCAGGGAAAAACTAAGGTTTCTCTAGTGTGAACAAAACTTGTTGACTTTCTTGTGATCCCTGTTACAGATCCGCCTAGAATGACACAGTCACTGAATTCAGATGGTTATACAGGACTTAAGAAACAATGACTACTGTGAACATTAAATAATAGCTTAAAATGTTTATCAGCTGATTAGGATGATTCTGCAGTGAGGAACAAAACATTTTTGTTTGGTTCAAGGTACAGTGTATTCTGAGTTAAGGGGGAGGCGGTGGATATGTGATTAAGATGTTCAGAAAACATTTCTTTCTTATCTTCCTAGTGTTCTCGATGTTTCTAATAAGGAAGGTGGACTGCTTTTCCTGACATTTAAACACCCATCAGGTTTGGTTTCTTGGTGATTATCTCCCTGGAGTTTTCACTCATCCGTTTATTCAGCCAAGGTCTCCTGAAGCCGCCTGGGTGCCAAGCCCCAGTTGGAAGCAAATGTCAAAGGAAATACCCAGGGAATTAGACATGTACAGTATGGAGGGGTGGTGACAAGGAAACCCAGGAGGGTCACAAGGCAGAGGAGAGAGTAATTGGCTGCAAGAATCAGGGAAGTTTTCCCAGAGGGAAAGACATTTGAACTGGGGTCTTGAAGGTTATATAGTTTACTAGGGTAGTCAGTATGAAATGCATTCTGGGCATTCATTCACTCAACTAAATGTTTCCTTAGGCCTCCCTTTTACCAGGCCCTGAGCTGGGTGCTGAAGACTCTAGAGGCATCAGACTTGGGCTCAGGCCTCAAGGGAGTACCCACTTTTTCTTTTTTGAGACAGAGTGTCGCTTTGTTGCCCAGGCTAGAGTGAGTGCTGTGGTGTCAGCCTAGCTCACAGCAACCTCAAACTCCTGGGCTCAAGCAATTCTGCTGCCTCAGCCTCCTGAGTGGCTGGGACTACAGGCATGCGCCACCACGCCCAGCTAATTTTTTCTATATATATTAGTTGGCCAATTAATTTCTTTCTATTTATAGTAGAGACTAGGTCTCGCTCTTGCTCAGGTTGGTTTCGAACTCCTGACCTCGATGAATCCGCCCTCCTCGGCCTCCCAGAGTGCTAGGATTACAGGCGTGAGCCACCGCGCCTGGCCAGTACCCACTTTTTTGTTTGCATTTTTTTCTAGCTTTATACTGTAAACTTTATGCTGTATAACTGTGTGAAGTTATACTTTTCTGATGTCTTTACTTTTGTCTGTCTTTGAGAAAGACTCCAGAGCGACAGGCATTGCCATAGAGTTCTTGAGAGCAGCCATCCTATGTTATGGGAGCCCCCCAGGCTCTGTCCCTCTGGTTTAGTGTGTGGATTCAGAAGTCCATTGGAATTACTGTGTGAAAGTCATTTCTGTTTCTGTGTTTCCATCAAAGGCAGCTCCAGCAATAGAGGAACTAGAGAGTAAACTGGGTGTTTCTGGAAAAGGGCAATCAAAAAAAAGCCTGGAGACCATTTCCCATTATGGAGTCTTTCACGTTCATCTGATCCAAACACAGCCCCTCTGAGCTATTAAGCAGAAAAAAACTCAAGGAGCCCGCATTTAACATTCTTCAAGTCTTACCCCAGTCTATCCCAGGAGTTCTCAACAAGGGTGGATTCTGCCCCCCACACCCTGGGGATATTTGACAATGCCTGGAGACATTTTTGGTTGTCACAGCTTTGGGGGGAGGTGCTACAGGCATCTAGTGGGTAGGTTAGGTACACTGTTAAACATCCTACAGTACCCAGGACAGCCCCCACAACAAAGAATTATCAAGTCCATAGTGTCAATAGTGCCAAATGCAAGAAACTTTGCCATATATTAATTGCTAACTCCAAGGACCACAAAGAAAACTTATGTGTCAACTTTGCATTGTACTTTCTGCACCCAGCACAAGCGCACACAGCCTCCAACAAAGCACAAATGTACAAAGATAACAGCAGCTATGAACCGTTGCCGTCTAATGGACCCTGAACTGAACACACTACAAAAATTAGCTCCTGTGATCCTTACAACAATGTTGAGATACGCAGTACCATTATGCATTTATTTGCAAACTAGGAAACCAAGGCACAAAATACTAGCAAACACTTAACATATCACTTAATACGTGCCAGGCACTGTTTTAAATATACTCATCAACTCCCTTAATTCTCAAAATATCCTGATGAGATTGTAGTAGGCAACCCAAGACGCTGCTGGTGATCCTCCCTCCCGGTATTCACACCCTGTGTAGTTCCCTCCCGCACTGAGCAAGAAAGACTTATGCTGTACACTAAACACACTGTGGCAGAAGTGACAGTGTGTGACTTCCAAGACTTGATCATAAAAAGCCTGGTAGCTTCCCCTTTGCTCTCTACTGAATCACTCGCTCTGAGCAAAGCCAGCTGCCATGTTAGGCCAGTCAAGCAGCGCGTGGGAAGGCTGAGTGAGCCACCTCAGAAGTGGATCCTCCAGCTGACCACACCCTTGGATGACTACAGCCCAACCCACACCCGGACTGCAACCTCATGAACAACCCTGAATCCAAACACCCCCAAACATCCCCCTAAGCCACTCCTGAATTCCTGACTCACAGAAACTTGCATAAGATGCTAAATATTTGTAGTTGGAAGCCACTAAGTTTGGAGGTAATCTGTTAAGTAGCAAAGAATGACACAATGAAAAACAAAGACAAGTACCATTAACATCCCCACTTTGGAGGTGAGCTCTACTAGGCACAGAGGGGGCAGGGACTCTGCGGTCTCAGAATTCTGTTGTGGAAAGAAAAGCCATCATTTAACCGCAGGCTGCCTTATTTGAGTCTGCAATGAGAACTACCAAAATCCAGTCCAAACCACAGTGGCATCTATCCTGGCCTAGCACCATTCCCCTACACTTAGGCTTCAATGTACCATCTGAAAAGGGAGGTCTGGAGCAGACAGGCAAAGAGGGGACAGAAAAGGAAGACTCACACACGTAATACCAGGTGACTGCTGGAGCTTGACCAAGGCTCCCAGAACAGGAAGTGTTTTCTGGTTCTAAACCAGATGGTTACATTGCTGAGCACACAGAAGTGCCTTATGGACAAAAACACAATCACCCTCATAGTCATTTCAGCCACCCAATGGGAGGGAATGGTTCCTGCAGCTCAAATCCAAACCACCACTCATTCCCCGTCCCTCACAGGGCCCCCCCCACAACCTGCCCCAAGGTGGGTGAAAAGCTCACTTAATGCCATCAAGCCAGGTGACAAACTCATAGGCGCTGCTGGTGGGAGCGTGACATTGTACGTAGGACTCAGGAGCACAGTCCACCGTGTTGAACACCACGAGGCTATACTGGGTCCCCCCATACTGGGGGAAGGGGAGAGGACAGAGAAACTTTTTAAATCTGAGATCCCAGCTCCCTTTTGCCTCAGAGGAGGAATAAAGTCTACTAGCTTCCTGTTCCTCTAGAACCAGGAATTTCTCAGCCTCCTCCTTCCTCAGACCCAGGGGTCCAGCCCCAGCCCTCCTCCCTCAGACCCAGGGGTCCAGCCCCAGCCCCTTCTCCCTCAGACCCAGGGGTCCAGCCCCAGCCCCTCCTCCCTCAGACCCTGGGGTCCATGTCCCCAGCCCCTCCTCCCTCAGACCCAGGGGTCCAGCCCCAGCCCCTCCTCCCTCAGACCCTGGGGTCCATGTCCCCAGCCCCTCCTCCCTCAGACACAGGGGTCCAGCCCCAGCCCCTCCTCCCCCAGACCAGGGGTCCGCGCTCCTAGCCCCTCCCCCTTCAGACCCAGAAGTCTGGACTTCCAGGACCCCAGGGGTCCAGCCCCAGCCCCTCCTCCCTCAGACCCTGGGGTCCATGTCCCCAGCCCCTCCTCCCTCAGACCCTGGGGTCCATGTCCCCAGCCCCTCCTCCCTCAGACCCTGGGGTCCAGCCCCAGCCCCTCCTCCCTCAGACCCAGGGGTCCATGTCCCCAGCCCCTCCTCCCTCAGACCCAGGGGTCCATGTCCCCAGCCCCTCCTCCCTCAGACCCAGGGGTCCATGTCCCCAGCCCCTCCTCCCCCAGACCAGGGGTCCGCGCTCCTAGCCCCTCCCCCTTCAGACCCAGAAGTCTGGACTTCCAGGACCCTCCTCCCTCAGACTCAATAGTTCCCAAACTCACGTCTCCCCCGAAGTCCGTCTCAGCAGGAGGACCACCATTAAAGTACCTGTGAGATCGCAGGTGAAAGGTTGGGGTCAGGCAAGAAGCTGTGGTAAACTAAAGTCGGAGGGCGGGGACGGGATCGCGGAAACCGCACTCACTCGATGGCCGGGAGCAGGTAGTGCTTGCGAAGCCCCTCAAAGTAGGGTCCCAGGTTGGCCGTACCCTCGATCACAAACACCACGTCGGCCACCAGGCCCCCGGCTCGGGCCGGGCCCTCCGACCCGGGGACCATTCCCCGTGCGGCAGCCGCCACCGCAGCCGTAGTAGCCACCGGGGAATGAGCGGAAGTGCGCCTGCGCCGCGCGCGCACCCGCGCCGGACGGCTTCGTGCCGCCGCTAGCGCGCCGGCGGCCATGTTTGTGTGGGGCTTTCAGGGGGCGTTTGTTGTGTCTCCATCCTCGTTCACACACGCCACATGGAAGACTCAGAAAGGGCACAGGGACCCCCTTCGGGGCCTGATGGGGAAGATTAAGTTATTGTCAGGACTATCAGGAGCGAAATCAACTGGAAGTGGCACAGCCGGCCGCCATCTTTGAGCGGGGTGCCTGTTTCCGACTCAGGTGTCAAAGGGAGTGTCAGGAGACCTAGTTGCTATGCAACGCGTACGCTGCCCTCATTAAGAGAGATTAAGTTTCTAGTTCTGTTCTTTCTGGCTCGAGAGAATAGGGGTGGCACATGGGAAAGGTCCAATCACATTGTCTGAAACGACGTTACTAGGCAACGCTTTTAGGTTGCGTCAACTTGAAAGGGAGGGCAGCTGTTTTTCCTCCGAAAAGAAACCGAACTCCAGCCCTGGTGGAGGTTGCTAAGCAACACCTGATAGTTGTTTTCTGGGAGAGGAGCCAGAAACTGGCCTAGAACATAAATACATTCCAGGTGGATTAAAAACGTAAATGCAACAAATGAAACGCTGAAACTATCCGAAGGAAAAAGAAACACATTGCATAATTCTGAAGTCCCGAGTAGAGTGTCTTAGCACTACAGCGAAGACAGAACATGTAAAATCTTATCAATTTGCCCACAAAAACTTCATAAAGCAAGTTGAAAAATATACGATAAACTGGGAAGATCTTTGTAACATATTTGTTGATAGAAGTTTACTACACAAATAATTCTTACTAATCAATAACAATTTAGATAGAAAATTGTTATTTTTTAAAGTGGAAAGAAACCTAGAGGGCTGAAACTTTTTCGTTCAATTAGTGTGAAAAAAGAGAGAGAAAAGAATAGAAAAAAGAGAAACTTTTCTTTTAAATGGAAAGAAACCTGAATAGGCTTTTCCCTCACACAAAAGAATTTTAAATGGCTAATAACCATCTGAAAACTGATTATCTTTACCATTTGAAAAGTGCTAACAGAAAGCCTAATGACATAGCATTTTACCTTTTCATGTTAATTTTGGAAAAAATAATGTCAATAGGGGTGGAAGGGTTTGGGTGAAATTAGTAGTCTCGGACATTACCTAGTGTTAAGTCAGGATAATTGGCTCCAATTCAGTTTGGCAATATATTTGAAGGCAAAAGAGTGCATTCCCTTTGAACACAGCAGTATTGCCATTTTGTCACATTT